CTCCCAGTTCTGTCATGGATGCGTTTTGCTTCTCTTGGGTGTCTTAGCCTGAATTCTCTGTTCAGCCAGCCATTCTTGGTTTTTCAGGCATGGTAGGTTGGGTAAAGGAAGGGCCTGCCAGACAAGTGGTGTATTTGACCATTAGGGTGGAGAAAGAGTTTGGAAAACTGTTCCCCTTCCTCAGAAAACCTTTACAGTTCCAGAGACAGCATGACTGCTGCCCTTTGTCATCTGTTCATCTATCAAATTCTTACTCGGCACCTACTGTGGGCAAAATATTTTAATGATCAACAACAGAAACAGCCAAAGGAAAGAAAGGAAACTCAAAAGCAGAAAAAGTCATCTGCAAGGCAAATTTATTTCCACTTTTCTGTAAGATTCCTCAGTAGCACAGACTGATTTTAATTTACATTCTTCTGCTTGATGATAACCATGAAGGCAAGTGTTTAACTCACTCATATCACAGCATCTGCATGGCCTAACTCATCTCATTAGGTTACAAACAAACATTGGTAAGTAGAGAGTCTCCTAACACTCTTGTGTAATTTTTTGGTTTTCTTGAAACAGGGTCTCTCTATGTAGTTCAGGCCGTCCAGGAACTCTGGGATCCTGCTATAGAGTGTTGGAATTACAGGTGTGCAGCACCCCATCCAGCTTAGTAATAATTTTTTTTTTGCATTTTAAATATAGTAATCATTTTTTTTTTAATTTTAAGAGTCCTCATAATTTGATCATCCCATGTTAGTAAAACAGCGAAAGTGGGGTCTTAACGTCAGAATATCCACGCCTGCTGCTCCCAGCTCCTGAGACTGATCATACCTTGTCATGAAAAGTAAAGCACGGGGGCCAGCCCATTAGCTCAGTTATTGGGGCCAGGGAGATGGCTCAGTAGACCAAGTGCTTCCCTGGCAAGCGCAAGGGTCTGAGGTCAATCCCCGGTTCAAAAAAAAAAAAAAAAAAAAAGAGCCGCTGAAGGCTGAATTAATTCAACTGCGAATACCAACTAAGAATATGGAAATGAAGCCACTTCTAAAAGTACAACAAGCCATCGTTTCATCGGAAAATAATTGCTCTTACAGAGTCTGGGGCAAGTCACAAATCACAAAGCAGGTGAAGTTAGAAACCTTACCAAGTCCGGGGTGTAGCTCAGCGGCAGAGCGCCAAATGTGGCTAGCGCGTGAGCACAGGGTTTGATCAGCAGCACCGCAGGGGTAAATGGAGAAACTTCCGATAATCCAAGGTAGAAACGCTGCCGCAGAACCCTTCTAGCAAATGCGAGCACCCGT